GGGAAGGGCGCGTGTGGACAGTGTCAGCGACCGCTGTGATGCCCCAGGGAAGGGCGCGTGTGGACAGTGTCAGCGACCGCTGTGATGCCCCAGGGGAGGACGCAAGTGGCCGGAGCAGTGACCGCTGTGACGCCCAGAGTCACAGAGTGGGTGTCACATATTCTGTGTGCAGTGTTGGCTGTACCACTGTATTAACCTCCTCTTAGTTGGCTGACAACTGACTGGCTGTCCCAGATGGAACAAGAGCCCCTCGGGAAGGCACCCCCATATACCTGGATCACCCCGGGGGCCCTCTCTGGAATTCAGCCGTGACTGGGAGGAGCCGCACACCAGGGTCAGTTCAACTGGGAGGGAGTTGCGTTGGGCAACATTGCAACACTGCAACCCTGCTGCCCCAGGAACTGCTGGTGCTGCTTTCTCTTCTCATTGTCCTCTTCACCGCCCCTCCACACTTTCTCTTCCCACTGTCCTCTACACCGCCCCTCCTGTCTTACTCTTCCCACTGTCCTCTGCACCACCCCAGCCCCTCTCCCCCCAGACTGAGCACTGCACTCAGCAGGAGGCCCAAGGGGGGCTCGTCCACCACCGCGCACGAACAGACTGGGACACAGACACAGCAGCGCTGCTGAGCAGGCCAGCCGGGCAAGGAGAGGGGGACGAGACGGAGGGAGAAGGGGGAGGAGAGCGGGGGTTCATGCGCAGGAGGGCGGGACAGAGGGAGGAGGGCAGCAGACGGACAGATTGTTCTCTCGTGTCCAATCCCTCAGGCCTGGGCGCTAATCTCGGAGGCTCTAATCCTGCTCCGCACAGGCTCAGCAGCCTCCCTCTCTCTCTGACGTTTGACCGGTGAGCTCTTCTCCTCCCCCAGGACCCAGCGGCCGCTGTCTCCTCCCTCCCTCTCCCTGTGCCAGAGCCAGGCTGCTGCAGGGGAAGAGCACTGCTAACACGGCCCTCTGGGGGGCTCAGTGAGGACAGGCCTGCGCTGTGGTCCGGTTGTCACCGGTTCTGGTCCGCCTGGGTTCCGCAGGAGCCGGAGTATGTCTGTCTGAAGGGGCACAGGGCGGGGCGGGGTGGTCCTGAACCAATCATCCAATCACGTGGCTCTCTGGGTCTGCTCCAGAACAGCGCCCCCCTGTGGCTGCCCAGCCACCTATCATCTTGCTCATCCTGTTGCTGGTCCAGTGGGGCATCCCGAACTAGGAATGTTTTTAACACCTTAGGTCTCGATGATTCTTTTTATAAGCAATATGACCAAAATGCAAAAACGTCCAACAACAGTAGTAGAGATTGCTTCACAATTTCAAGTTACATGTGAGACAGCAGCTGTGTACGCCCAGATCTTTAGGAAGGAATTCTGTAAAGGACACACATGAGTCCTACCGACTGTAAGAGCCAAGACCCAGAGTCTGCAGTAAATCCTCTTTACTGAAGATGCTGCCGGCACGTCAAAGGCACTGCTGCTATGTGTGTGCTTAGAGTGCCCCTGTGTGGCCACACCATGCTACTGCACCCATTGCAATCCCAAAGTTCAGAACCCGCAGTCACAGTGCAAACCACTCTTCCTCCTATCTGCTGCTTCTTCTTAAGCATCAGCCTGAGCTTCTCAGTCAGGCCCTGAAGTGTGCACAGGCCCACATCTCCACTCAAAGATGTTTAGCTGACCAGCATCCACCAGATGGTGCTGCTATACGCTTTCAGGAAGTTTAAAAACACCTGCATACCTGCTTCTCTAGCTTCCTTTAGAGTAATCAAACAGTAAATCATCCACAGTCACTGTAAGACCAGCACAGTGTTTTAGGTTCAGGTAGTGTTTTAGGTTTTTGCCATGCTGAACTGATCTGCTCTGTGTTATACAGTGTTGCCCTGCACAGTGCTGGGCTCCTCTGCTCTGTGTTACACAGTGTTGCCCTGCACAGTGCTGGGCTCCTCTGCTCTGT